CCCCCCCCCCGGTCGCAGCGGTCTCCGGTTTTCTGGAATTGGCAAGGTGGGCACCCTATCCTTGCGCAAAGAGAAAACGAGAACGACAGTGCGCATCTAGCGTTGTCATTCGACCAATCTAAGATCAATAATTTAAAAGATTTTACGCAAAAACCGAAAATGCCTGATTTTTATTTCTTTTTTGGATACCAAAACTTTTCTCAAAGTTTTTAGGTGGAAAATTTAGGGTTTTCTTATTCATAACAATATAAAATCTTCTAATCACGTTCTACTCAAGGCAAAATTATTTATCGACTGCATTACAGAACAGAGTATTTGACTAAAGAACCTACAAAACCAGGAAGCAGCGACAAAAATTCCATAGGAACTGACACAGAGGGGTAAATGGCCTTATAGCGCCCTAGGACTGATAGGACCACGTCCGAGGGAGGGTCTCTGAGGTCTGTGGTCCCATGAATAAAAGTATATTTAAAAGCTGAATAATGAATTCTTGCCTACAACAAATTTCCGTGATTAAATAAAGAAATCATTTGCTTAGAGTTTATTTAACAAGTTATTATATAAACTAAAGTGCGGATAAAATTAGAATGTAGTTGACATTTGGGAGTAAGGGGGGGGGGGCGGCATTGCCGCATATTGAGCGCGCTACCACATGCTCTCAACACTAACTAGGCAAACTGAGGAAAATACAAGAAAGAAATATTGAGAAACTCGTAACAAGAGGAAGAATGATAATACATGCGAAACTTACCTTTTCTGACTCTTCGCCAATTCCCAAACTACACAAAGTAACAAACTTCGAAAATATTTATTTGAGAACACTACATTGGGTGCATTGTCAACAAAAAAGTGTTGTTTTTTAAAATCCTCTTTCTCTTTCCCAATCTTTATCTCTGTATTTACGTGCCACCATTTCGCTATACCATAGAGTAATGATATATACCTCCTTAGTCCAATGATATATAGCATCTGCTTAGTCTATGGCTGTAGCTACTACTTTTGAAAGAGATAACAAGGGCTTACCATTGTTTTCTTCTATCTCAAAGTAATAACGAACATTTACACAATTTTCGCAGGATTGTCCTTTCAGACAGACGCCTCTACTGGATTTCCTCTTTTCCTTAAAAGGATGAATGGGGCAAACTATGGCGGCATCGGCCGAGTTTGCCCTTTTTTTCTGACATGTCAGAAGACACAGCACTAACGAAACGATGCCAGTAGGCAATAACAAAAAACCATAACAAAACAGTAATAACGATAACAAGTCAGGTTTAATCAATTATACCAATAACAACAAATCTAACAACATCGCTACTCAGAAATTTCGCAAACGCTACGCACTTTAAAGTATAATAACCTCACACTCGACACAGACTTCGCTTATCTATATAGTTCACCACAATTTTCGAGGCACGCAATTCATTTGTTCCCTAATTTTAAGTGATAACAGTGTGCAAATGCCGTAGCTTCAGATTCACTGTTCCTTACGTTATGGTGCTACATCACCATGTTTAAGAAAAGACAATTATCGATATGCGGAATAGCAAAATTGGAAGTAAAACTTAAAATCGTGTCAAACAAAGTTTATTGTAACAACAAATGCACATTTGTACGAATTCCCTTATAATATTAGATTTCGGCGCTGGCGTCGGCATGTGACCACAAAATGTCATTCTTAACATTGTAATTTTATTCGAAACTTATTGATAGTTATTTTATAATATAGTTACTATTGCTTAACGCGTCCTCTTGCAGCAATCGCTGGCAATAATTCGATGATGACTGTGGCTTTCATGAGGCTATGTGGAATGTTTAAAAGTACTACGTATGTATTAAATTGTGTGATAAAAAGGAAAAAAGTGAATATTAAATTTAAAGGAAGAAACGCTGCATTCCAATTTAAATATATTCACACAAAAATCCTCCAATTATGAAATTATATTTTTTCCAAAATATGCTTCAGAATCAAAAAGAAAAGAGTTTTCATTTTCTTTCTGTTTTATTTATTAGTTATTGTATTAATTATGTAATTAGTTATATTATTTTTACTTATGTAACTTATTATAATAATTCATTATTTTATGTATATAGACAATTCTCTGGAACCTTTAACTTTTATATCACGTACACATTATCAACTTTATTTCAATAAACTACTTTATTATTAGTTTTGTATTTGTTATTTCCTTATAAAAATGTATCAGTGAACAGCCAAACAACTGTTTACTAATATAAGATTTTTTTTGTTATTATACCACAGTTTACGTTTCAGATTAGTCCCATTTTCTGGGTATCAATTGATGTAGCCATGTTATTTTGATTTTTGTATTATTGAAAACAATTCACTAAATAACTAAACAAAAATGGAATATAAAGCTTAGATTTCCACGATTTTTGTTTTCCATTTGAAAATGGTGTGCTCCATGTGCGATTTTAAAAATTATCATATTTGTCTGAGTTTGAGTGTCAAAATTGTAACTAGCACTCAGCAAAATAATAGAAAATCCATACTTTTTATTGACTTTCTGTGTGGCATACAAATTAAGATAAAATAAAGTAAATACATAAATATGTTTTAATTTTTTGTGAGAATCAGTTCATTATTTGTTAAGAAACATTGTGGTATTCCTTCAGTTGCAATAATAAAGTCAAAATTGTAACCGAAGTCGCTTTTAATAAAATGCACTAAAAACGTACTGTGTAAATCATAATTGTATCAGTTGTAATAGCATAAATTAGACTTAAGATAAATTAGACAGTAGCTTATTTCAATATTTATTATGTAATGAAGAATAAAAATTTGTGACATATCAAAACTGAAACATGCATCATAACTGTAATCAAATAGCGTTTTTCCTTGCCAAAACTATCTGATCCAAAGTCGAGTAGGTTTTCACTGAAACTCTTGTTCCATTGCAATATTTTAGTTTCTTCACTTTTGGAAAGGAAAATGCTAAAACTTATAAAGAATATATTAAAATTTAAATTACTAAATTTTGAAAATCAAAGAATGATATATAAAATATTATAATTAGTATATTATAATGACTATTCCTTATTTATTTATAAAATACAAACTGAAAGAATTGCAATATTTAACAAAATTTAAAGGTTCCAGTTGTCTGTAGAATATCAACATTCCACAGTAGGGCTTCACTTCAACAGAATGAAAACGTTTGTGTAACAGTAACATTTTTATTCAATTTCAATTTATTTGCATCTAGCTGCTTCATGTGACATGAGGCAGATAATGCTTTTTATTAACAAGTTCTCCTGATGTGAGTCTTGTATTTACATTACTTTTGACTCTTCCTGTCGATCATCAGTGCCAAAAGAACATTTTCAAAATTAAAGCTGATTAAAAATTATTTATGAAGTCCAATGACACGAGGCCATCTGAATTTTTTTTTTTTTTTTTTTTTTTTTGTATCAATTGAGCATGAAAAACTAAAGTGGTTGAAAAATAATATTTCTACTATTATTGATAAAAGGTAGATATGGTATAAATGCAAAGAAAAGGCCGAAATTTAAATTTTAAATTACTTCATGAAATGGGAAAAATTATAATTTATTTTCTGTAAAAAATGTTTTCCTTCCTAAAATTCAGTGTATAATCACAAAATTAAATTAATCACATGTCTTTAGGGGGCCCCATATTGTGTTGTCCAAGGGGCCTCTCTGTTCAAATTACGCCACTGGCTGGGGTGAGGTGTGGGGGGGTTAAAATCTAAATGATGACACCACTCAGGATTTTTAGATTTCTTTCAGTGATGCTGATGGACTTTGTTTGCTCATAAGGTATCCCATCTTACCTTTCAGTGGCTTTGGCTTTCAATTTTTCGAAGACAGAACTCTCTGTACAAGATATCTGATGCAGCTCTCCTCAGTGCTGGTTATTACACAAGTGTGAAGAACAAAAACAATAACCATGTTGTCACCGATGCCAATCCACATTTCAAAAGATAGTCCTCAATAGAATTTTGTAGAGTCAGTATTGCAAGTGAAACAAATTCATAGTCATCATAACAATTTAGTGTACCACTAAGAATCATTTTCTGTAATGAAGCCAAATTAATATTTCTGATAGACAGAATGTGCCAAAAAATGTTATGGTCATGTGCAGTCACGATAACAAAGAAAAGATTGTTTCTTTCCATGTAAGTGTTGAGGTAAATTTTAGAGTACAAATTGAATCATTTTAAATATTAATTTCTTACCATAATTACTTTTAAATTATGATTTTTCATTGTTCACCTGTCTTTTGGTACCCCTATTTTAGCCATGTTAAATGCTTTTTTCCTTGCCAAACTTCATAAAAATAAATGTGTTTCTGCTTGCCCATTTTAGGTAAAATAAATGCCTGAGCTTTTGAGTTCTAGTCATCACATTATAATTATTGGCTTGTATATCATATTACGAAGTAAATTCTGTTAGCAAATCTACTGAAGTACTCTTTCTGAAATATTTTTCCAATTGAAGATAAATAATTATCAGAATTTGTTTTTCAAAAATTGTTAATGTACCAAAGTTTTCTTACAAAAATATCCATTTTATGCCAAGGGTTAATGTTTGATGCCAGATACTTTTAGGGTACAAACTCCTGGTTAATGGGTCTGATAGTACTGACACTATTGTTCACATTAAGGAGGGATGGTGAATTGAAGTTAAAAGTTGTGTGTATTGCCGCAAATCCAGGGGGGATCAAAATCCATATTTTTTTGTAATTTTATTCAAAATCATTACCACACTGGGCATTACATCCAAGGAGCATTACCACTAAGAATTTACATTTTTTTATTTTTAAGCCAACAATTAAAAAAATAATTCTTTAAAAAACTTTTATGGGGGATTTGAAACTGAAATTGTCCCTCATTGCCGGGAAATGGTTTCTGAATCCATCTTTGGTTGTGGAATATGCACTTCATTGATTTGTGTATTTACAATAACAAACAAGATGTATGTTTACGTTTTCATAAAAATAAATAAATAATAAAGATAAAAAACTCAGTCATACAAATTACGATCTTTATTCAGTACAAATAGATTCCAAGACATAAATATGTATATGAAAAGAACATTAATCTCTTACTTGTAAGAAATTCAATGTGTAGTCAAAAAAATAATTATTGCAGAAATTTTCTGCAAAACTCTGAAACATTTCCTTTCTTGACTGAACAACAAACAATAAAAATGAGAGAAATGATGAACTACATTGCGAAGTGTTTTGCAGGCACAAAAAGTAAATGCAGAAAATAGTTTAGCTCTAATCTTAAAGGAACATTAAATAATATTGAAATAACATTAATTTTTCTTCACAGTTCACTATACAATTAATGATAATGCTCTGCAGTTCACAAGTAAGATTGGTAGAAAATAATTAACTTATAATATAAATATGTTGCATTTGAAATGAAGTTGTAAATCCCTATGCATTTAAAATAAAGATTTGCATCTTCATTGGGAAAACTTAAACAGAAGTGAGAGTTTAAATATCATTCATTTGATCATTTTCATCCTCAACTTCATCTCCAAGATCACCATTTTCATCATAATCACTCTCCGCTGTTGCTTCCTGGAATACATAAATTGTCAGTAATTATCAAAGAGTAATTTACAAATCATTTACAGAAATTAATTTGTATATGTTCACTCAGTACAAACCTGATATTGTTGGTATTCGGAAACTAAATCATTCATATTGGATTCAGCCTCTGTGAATTCCATTTCATCCATGCCTTCTCCGGTGTACCAATGAAGGAAAGCTTTTCTCCTGAACATGGCGGAAAATTGTTCAGATATTCTCTTGAACAGTTCTTGAATAGCTGTAGTATTTCCAATAAAGGTTGATGACATTTTTAGGCCCATTGGAGGAATATCACACACTGCAGTCTTGACATTGTTTGGTATCCATTCAACAAAGTAGCTGCTATTCTTGTTTTGAACACTCAGCATTTGCTCATCTACCTCTTTCATTGACATGCGACCTCTGCAAGACAATGAAAAAATAAAATCGACATTTAACTAACTCTTGTTGGAAATATTAAGTAGATAGCACACAAAGCTCTAATTTGTTTTTCGATTTTCAATTTGTTTGTAAATAAACTTAAAAGCTAACTCTAAACTTAAACTCTAAAATAAGCAGAGTAAGGTAAAGTATATAGCTCAATAAATATTGAAACGTAAGAAAAATAAATTTAAAAAAAATTTGTATCTAGTTTTTAATATTTGACTACAATATTCTGTATCATGTCATTTCAATATTAATGTTAAAAATAAGTTTAATTGTTACTGTAAATTTTGAACTTTGTAATTTATGTTAATGAATATATTTGGTTTTGTGCGATAAAAGTTTGGCTTGTTTGGTATTTGGACCCACCTGAATACTGCCGCAACTGTCAAGTAACGACCATGTCTTGGATCACAAGCAGCCATCATATTCTTTGCATCAAACATTTGCTGGGTAAGTTCTGGGACAGTGAGAGCACGATATTGTTGGCTACCTCGGGATGTAAGAGGAGCAAAGCCAGGCATAAAGAAGTGGAGTCGAGGGAAGGGAACCATGTTTACTGCCAGTTTCCTTAAGTCAGCATTCAACTGTCCAGGGAATCTTAAGCAAGTTGTTACACCAGACATTGTAAGGGATACCAGATGATTCAAGTCATTGTAGTTTGGGTTTTGTAGCTTCAGAGTTCGGAAGCAGATATCGTATAGAGCCTCATTATCTATGCAGAAGGTTTCATCGGTATTTTCCACCAATTGATGAACAGACAATGTGGCATTGTATGGTTCAACTACAGTGTCTGAAACCTGTAAAACAATAATTATCACAAATAATAACAAAAAATTCAAAACAACATGCAACCTGAATGATATATTGAAGTTGTAATTATTATATTTGAATACACATGGACACTAACATTTGTGTTACTTGAGGTGAATCCATGACCCCTCAGAATTTTTTTTTTTTTTCAAAATATTAATGTCGTTTTCCAAATCAGTTTTTTAATGAATATCATAGTAAACTTTTATTCCAAATATAATGCAGATACAGAGAGTAATGAAAATTGCTACATTGGTAACATCACTGAAAAATTATTTTAAAGATTTTTTGGGCTGGTTGTTTTTACACCATGAATGTTTGAAGCGAGGGTCTACAAAATGAGTAACTCTTTTATTGCAGTTGTCCAACGACGGTAAAAACGTGAAAAACGATTATTTTCTTCAAGCATAGTTTTTCTAACTTAAAATGACAAACGGTGATGGAAGAACTAGATCGTTTGAGTTCACAATTTAATTGTCTACCCAGTAGATCTCTCACCTTGGGAGAAGGCATCACGGAGTAGGTGTTCATGATCCGGTCCGGGTACTCCTCGCGTATCTTGGAGATGAGCAGCGTGCCCATGCCGGAGCCCGTGCCGCCGCCCAGCGAGTGCGTGAGCTGGAAGCCCTGCAGGCAGTCGCAGTTCTCCGCCTCCTTGCGCACCACGTCCAGCACCATGTCCACCAGCTCGGCGCCCTCCGTGTAGTGGCCCTTGGCCCAGTTGTTGCCGGCGCCCGACTGCCCGAACACGAAGTTGTCGGGGCGGAAGAGGCGGCCGTAGGACCCCAGCCGCACCGCCTCCATGGTGCCGGGCTCCAGGTCCAGGAGGATGGCGCGAGGGACGTACTTGCCGCCAGTGGTGGAAGACGCGACTGTCACAACACACGAGTGGAAGAATTAGGAACCGTTAATAAAACAAGAGAATCAAAATTTGCGGAAAAATTGTGGTCGGCTGTTCGGTTTACCGCTCCACCCCACCCCCCGTTTCTATCTCTGCGATTGGATGAATTCGTGGTAACGCAATTATGCCTGCCATTATAATGTTGGAATACAAAAAAGTTGTTTTGGGTTTGCCGACGTAAAAATGTGGTTATTTTAGTTACTGGAATTTAACCCAAGCAAACCACAAAATTTACAAAAACATAATTGCCTCAAATTGCTCTAAAATGTGGGTCCGCAAACCTTTGTAAGCATATCCTCGTAGGTATGGGGCAAAATTACTAGGCCTGTGAAAAATTTATCAGAGAAGATTTGTAAAATATATTAACAATTGAACTGAAAATGTAATGCTTTCTTGCACGTATTGCAAATATCTGCTACGTATGTTTTCTACAAATTAAAAAACATTTAATAAAATAATATTAATAATTCGACATTTAGCAACATGCGGGTACATTATTTACACTACGACATTATATACACATTAGATACACTATGTGAGTTGTTCAATTATTAAAAGATTTTATTCCTGCGCCAATGTATTGTAAAACATTGGACTTTATGAAATCAACAAGTTTCTTTGAGATATCGCAAAAAGATGTTTACATTAAATCAAACTTATATTAATGAAAATACATAAATTGTAATCGGCAAGAAAAATGTATCATGTCATATACTCACTGGAAGCCTCGCTGTAGTACACATTGATGCGCTCTAACTGTAAGTCTGATGTGCCATTGTAGGTGCCAGTAGCGTCGATTCCATGTTCTCCAGAGATCACTTCCCAAAACTGCAACACACAAAACGTACATCTCACTATTGTTTCCACCTCTTTCCTTCAACTTCGAGTAATGGCAATCTCAACATTTATCATGATAGACTTAATACATCGTAGAACTTTTAATATAATAAATACTCCCACAAAATCAAACAGTAAGTACAGAATTACAATTTGAGACAAAACGAAATAATATCAACCTTGATGTACCGTCTTTCTTAACATACTTGCGTATTAGCTTGGATACATAACTTACCTCAAAAAATTAATTATCAAGTGTAAATGCAATTTTTGTTACAATTTATGAATACATCACAAATTTAAAAAGCACAAAACTTCAAAAAACAGAAAGAAATTCAAAATGTCAGATAGCATATGTGAACTCTTGAAAAATACATGGAAAATGTATGCTTTATTGTAAAAGGAAACCAATTTTTACAACATGTCTTTCTTTAAGATAGTTTGAAAATAATGTTGTAATATTTAGTGAAAATATATTGTTAATACTTGTACATTAACTGTTTTTCAGTTCATTTAGGCACAATTCAGAGGTTTTCAGATGTAATTTCCACAACACCCTCCTGCATTTCACCCATGCAAAAGCGGATTTTACCCATGCCGAAGTGGATTCATTTTCTGGGACGAACATCTTTTTTATCTTTGTTGTGGTTCTTCACAGCTTTATTATCAATTTTTGCTATTTTGGCAGCAGTGGTTCGAAGATGTCGGGGAATCCTGCTATCAGTTGCTTTTGTACACATTTGGCCTTTGACAGCATATATTCTATTTCCTTCAAAAAGTAGTCCGTCTCCATTGTTATTTCTGGACTATTGTGAATGAAGGTATTCTGAGCATTAAATCCTGTTATACTCAAGATTCTAAAAGACAAAGTGAGCGGCTGTCTTCTTCATCGTCTGACAAGGGAGTAGATTTGGCACAACTCGTCAGCCGTGTCGTCCCCAGCCTTTGAGTAGTTATGGAACATTTGATAATTTCAGGTTTCCGAAGATCAGTGGATGTTTTGACAACATGATTACTGAGACGCATTGTTGAAAGAACAATTATTACGTTTTTTAGGATTTGGAATGTATGATACTAACGACATATTTTTCTAAAAAGAAAAATTAATTTCTTAATTCTCTTTGATGGTTGCAAAAGCGAAGAGGATAAATAAATGCATAAAGCTTGTTTTATTAAAAAAAATATTCTATTGTAAATAAAGTACAGGTACAAACATATATTATGTACAGTAAATCTAAGCCCAACCGAGCGAAATGACTCAGGGCCCAGCGCGCTGACTTTGCATTCGGGAGGCCCGTGTACAATCCCCGTGCCAACTATCCTGACCAGAGTTTTTGTGGTTTCCCTCCATCATCCGCCCAAATGCTGAGATGGTTCTACTGAACAGCCACGACCACGAAACCGGCGTCGCAAGCCTAATTTGTTAACCACGTGAAGTCATGAAGGTTAAGCAAATTCGAGTCATTGCGGGATCCTGGTTAGGTGATAGACTAGAAACCTGGAGAACTAACGGCGCTGAGGTCAATTGCCCTATCGGGACATACAATGGCTAAACACAAATACAAATCTAGACCCACAGCAAAATACATCGTCAGGAACGAATACGGGTTATCGACGGTCTGGATTTTAGACGTATGAATTATTTACTACTGTATACAATGTGAGCCATTGCAGGTGGAAATGTATCGGAAATCAGCGTGTTAATGATAATAGCAACAAATAATTCTTTTAACGTTTTGCCCTTAGAAGGAAAAATTCCCATCGATATAAACTGTATATTCTAAACTAATACAATGGACTCGGTTGATTCCTTTTATTTCGAGACGAGAGTAGAATCAGCTGATGCAGCATCGCGGCCCCCAGCAGCGACTCGTGCGTCGCCTGAGCCGGATGTTGACCCTGGAGATGAGACATCCGCCCGCCTCCTTCGCAGCTGCAGCCAATGACTCGAGCGCGGCATCAGCAAGTGTTCCAACGCCTGGGACGAAGCGAAACGTAGCAACTGTTTTATAACCGCGGCAGCGTCCACGACTGTTGTCCACTAACCAGCGCTCTCGAACCCACAGAGTATCTACTGTTTGAAAAATTAAACTTATCCTAAAAGTGATGTCCGTTAATATCATATCACTTCATTTCACACTATCATGACGCTAATCATATTTTAGAAGATATTTAAGAGATATAAGACTGTGATTACGCGATGTTTTATTTAAAATTAAATGTTTTATTAAAAATTAAAAATACATAAAAATAAAAGTTTATTTCAGACCGAAGAAACAATATCCGAATTTTATTTTAGCAATAAAACATTTTATACATAGGATAGTTTATTATGAATTCGTATTATACTTCGCTCTTTATTTAAATTAATTCGTTACAATATCCCAACGAAATAAACTGTCACATTCAAAAAGTTACATACGGTCTGAGGACAATTTGAAACATTTTCGTTTAAATATAAATTTTCCATTCTTTTTAAAAGTGTAATATAACTGAATTAAAACGAATAAGATGAAACCTTTTGTTTCCTCGATAATTTCAGATAATACTGCAAGAGTCACCTATACAGGATTAAGTTGTCCTAAGTGCGTGTGTTCCCCATTCGAACTATTTTTCCATAAATAATTTTCATCTCTCGCCATTTATTTCCCGTACACGTCCATTCAGACTGCATACTGAGCTGACGAACTGTGTATATAGCAACCTTGATTTGGGTTGCATGTAGGACCATAGTATATGAATCCTGAAACGAGAAGCGCCTTTTCGACACAACCCGCAGCACTGCTCCGTACTGCGGTTCCTCGAATCAGGCGGTACGCCCAACTGCTTTGGGTGGGGAGTTTGGGTTATAATTTTTATTTTAGCATTATAAAAGACCGTTCTGCTGCAAGAAATCGTTCATAAAAGGAAACTTTATGGCAAAAATGATGACGTATTAGATATTACGGCGCGAATGATTGTCACCACACATTTAGCCAATCGCTACGAGAGAATCGTGGGGAGGCAGTGGCAAACTGAACAACCTACCACATTTTTCTCGCATAGATATCAAATACCCGAGACGTCGCAAGAAAGTTGTTTCGCAAAATTGTTTAATTCTCTTATAAGTTTATAAAGCTGTAATACAAAAATAGCTTATGTCATTGCATTCAAACAAATTTGAAAACTCTCTCCTACTGTCGCTCGTTTTTAAAACGCGAACTCATGTAATAGAGTTTAACATTATAAACTAATTTCATAAGCAAGTATAAGAAAAAACACAAAAGCATGCATTTGCGGGGTATGTTTAGGTACAATACACATCCTATTACCTCATCAAAATTCTGGATTCCCTTTAAGTTCAATGCAAAGTTGTTTGATGATTTATAGGTTTTTTCCAAACATTACATATTGCATTTTAAAACTCTTCTGTTATGTAATAAAATAAGGGGAAATAATATAAATGTGGAATAATACATTTTAGACCGATTTATAAACATATTATTACGTCATGGAACGCCTAAAATTTACAGGTCGTAGTTACACAAATACTCTTCAAATAATTACGTTCGCCCCACCACTTTCCTGTGATTGTCACAATTTCAGCAACCTTGCTTGGGCAAATACATTTTGCATTCTCGATCAGATTGTTATAGTAAGATAGATCCCATTTCTAAAGTCTAGCATAGTGTGCCTAATAAATTAGGAAGGGAAGTAGTTTCGTAAGAGCACCTTGCAACAACAATCGAATACAATACCCTTGAATGAAATACCCGAGGAAAGTAAAGAAGTATGTGCTCATTTGTGGGTATGATTACTCTGATGATTTTCAAACCAGAAAGTCATTCGCTTTTTTTTATTCAGTTTACCTTAAATATATTGGGCGCAAGTACATATTAAAATAATTGTCGTCGTGAGATATGAACCGATTTAAGAATTACAAACGTCGTACCTGTTATATATCTTTTCATAAAATAGATATTAAACTGTGTTATCACAATTAATTGTTAGGCAAGTATTTATATTTATTACTTAGATCGATTATTTCAAAGTCTTTTAGCAAATATTTTCGTCGTATCATCTTCGCCATGTTCTCCGTTTTAAACATCCCCTGCATTATCCTTTTCTTAAGCTTCACCACTTCAACGAAGAATAATGGTTCCTCTTCTTGAAACTGAATAATCTCTGGCGACACCGGAAAGCCACAATTAACTACTGTAGCTATATTTATCGATAGAGTTCAAAAATACCTCAACGCTGTTAAGGTTCTCCATTCCACTTCCCTCATCCCCGAAAGAAACTTATTTAGGATGTTTAGAATCCAACTCTATCAAGAAATGTATTTTTCAATACAAAATACAATATCGTTGTTACAGGAGGAAACTTACCATCAATGTTTTTATGTTTAGTTATTTTTATTCGTAAATCACACATTTTCTATTCTTTTGATTAGTGATCGTCGATCGGGTTCGAACTCGCAAAATTCAATACGAAACGCTAACCATTACACCACCGACGCTCTATGTCGGAAACCTGCCAACATCGGAAGTCGAACCCTACGCCCTCCCTGTGAGAGGCTTCCCGGCCGCCCGCGCCGCTCTCCAGGAGCGCCTCCGCCCTCTCCAACGCCGCCTCCACTCCAGGGGAGGGCGAGAGGCACGCGCGCGGTGATAAACGGCCTCCTAAAAATATGAGCGTCCCCGACGCCCTCTGGCGGCAGCCGTGGAGGGCGCGCCGTTGTTCGTTCCCCAGGAAGGTAAACAGCGCCCGCGGCGCCGCGGCGTGGCCGCCGTTAAAAATAAAGACGAAGCGCCTCCGACAGCGCGCCCCGCGGCGACAGGAAGCCCCCCGCACACAGACACAAACCCATCGCAAGAGATGACGCGAGGCCCGCGCCCCTAAACACCTTCCGAGCGGAGAGCCAATCGGTGAAATGACGGAAGTCCTCTTCATCCTCTTACATTGCAAGCTTACATTGTCAGAGATTTCCGCATTACTCGAATAAAATGTAA